CATGTCGATAACAGCAAGCCCGGGAGTCCACTGGCAGGTATGGACAAGGCGTGCTCCTGCTGCTGTTTCCCATTTGCATGACCACTCCAGACATACTGATTCTCATGTGGAAATCCTCCAAGCGTTGGGCGTCACGAGCCCCCATGGCTTCAGTGCAGACTCCCAGCACCCTGGCACTGCCTTGGAGGGTTTGAGCCCCAGCGCCACCCCACGCCTCTTTTCAGCCTCCCTCCTCTTCGAAACCTCATCGCACAGCACAGTTTCCTTCACCAAGATCTCCTCACCCAGCTCTGACCCTCCTGCACCTCTCTGCCTTCCTCCATTCCCCTTTCTCTCCTCCCTGCACCCTACTCCCATCTCATCTCATCCCTTTATGGAGCTCATCATCTCCTGAGCAAGTCCCGCCATACCACCACTAATTCCCGACACAAGCCAAATGCAGCCCTGCCACCACTGTTTTGTATCCATTGTTTGGGTCTGGTTTTCTTTATATTCTGTGCAGCCTAGCAACTTGTATCCACCTCATCTACTCCGACTCCGAGCTCCTCAGGCCTAACTCTGTGTCTGCGCAGGGCCCAGCGCAACAGCTCTCACTCGCCACCAGCCCCTGCCTGCACTGGCTGGCGTAACAAAACCCGTGTGAGTTCAGTGAGAGTCCATCAGTCCCTCCTTCAAGCATTTCAAAAATCTAGGGAGGAAAAAAAGAAAAAGGAAAGGGAGACAAGAGGCAGGAGATAAAGGAAACAAAATGGACGAGGTGGTTCTCACTGGAAGCAGCATTCCGAGGTGCGACACCTTCTCCTTTCCCTGCTGTCCTTCCCTGACAGAGTCAGGCTAGAAGCAGCATTCCTCTCTTGTATTCCTACATAACGCTCCTTTTTCTCTTCTTTTCCCCTCCCCCTCCCTAGATTACTTTTAACACTTACTGCCTGCCCCGTCTGGCGCTTCCATGCAAAAGAAACTAGGTCTATGGCACTCCCTTACTGACCGGAGTATCACAGGCCTGTGCTCTTACTACCTGTTTGCCGAGTGCCAAATGGTATTTGAACTGTTCTCACTTCTTTCCTTCATCTTCCCGCCCACCGGCAGCGGCCACAGCCTCAAAAAATACACTTCCTTCTTCATTTTTAGATTTTTTTCATCTTCCCGCCCACCAGCAGCAGCCACAGCCTCAAAAATTACACTTCCTTCTTCATTTTAGGACTGAAATAGTTGATAGTGCCTAATGTAACTGTAACACCCTCACTGCTAAATACACCATGACAATGAGGGGGCCCACGCTGAGCCTTAAAAATACCAACCACCGAATGCATGCAGGCTGAATTACTTCTGTGGCATACCTAAAACTACGTTTTAGTTGTGGAAAGAAGCCAAAAGATCCGAGAAATAAGAGTATTTTTCCTTCCACTTTTACCAACACATGCATAATCCCCCTCTATTCTCTCAGTTATAGCTCTGTTTTTTTAGTTAAAAATGAAAATCACACCCAAAAAAAAGCCTCAAGTTGGCGGAAGTGCTGAGCAACAACTCCCAGCTTTGGGTGCAGCTCTGGAAATTCAGGTACAGTTTGCTAGTAGCTTGAATACCAAATGAAAACGAAGCCTCATCTGGGGCAGGAAGACCTTGAAAATGTTCGAAGTCTGCTCTTAACAGAGCGAATGTGCTCTGGGGCCACCTCTTCCCACGTGGCTGTCACACAAAGCACACATACCTCATGCATATATCTTTGTGTGACAGGTATCACATGGTACACCGTATGTAACTCTAGAAAACTAATTTTTACCCTCTTTCCAACAAGATGGAAAGTATTCTGCAACTAGCTAGCAGATAATAAACTGGGCAGCTGATAAACTGGGTTTGCAAACACTACCCCTGCGCTTGAGAGATCATTATGTTACTCTACATGGAGAGCAGAGAACTTACCACTGTGTTAAGAGCAAAGAAGCGCCTACCCCCGAGCCTCTCAACCCCATTTCGCATGCAAGCTGCGATTCTTGCCCTCCTCCCAGAAAGCCCTACCAGTCCTGTCCAGCCTCAGTTGCCCTCAGCCCCAACATCTGCTAGCCCTAAGTGACCACAGAAGCTGCACTGCCAGCTTCCCTGATGCAAGACACTGTGTGTCCACAGGACTGCTCTGATGATTAAGAATTAAACGCACAAAGAAGTACTTTCAGTTAAGCCAAGGCCACAACATTCAATACTTGGCAGTCTCAAGGCCTCTTCTGACTCATGACAACACAGTAATGTGTCAAAGGGGGAAAAAAAGTAGAGAGATGAAAGTAAAAAAAGCTACAGATATTATACCACCTTACGAGTAGCACAAGATTTTCCTAACCACAGCCTGAGTAAAAATAATACCATAGAAGGCACGTCAGGAACAGGAACCGAGCGCGCTGGCTGCTCACCTCCACTGGGGAGGGATGCTGTCTGTGGGGCTGGAGCGCGGCTCTCCACAGAGAAGCCTCACTTGCAAGGATAACTACAAAAAGCCGCAGCAGAGGATTGCAAACCACACCACTTCTAGGACAAAACGTTCTTCAAGGTCACACCAGAACACCTGATTTTAGCAGGAGCGTACACAAGGGCGGAACTTGGCCTACATTCTTCTGTTCGCAGAGGAGGGAAAGAAAGCCTCTCAAGTTCAAGCAGCAAGTAATCCTACAGCCTGCTGGACAGAAGGACCCTGGTCCCTTATAAAACAATATAAGGACAGTGTCAGTAAATCTGCATACCAAAAAGAGAAAATTGAGAAACTTAAGTCTTGAACGTTGACCTATGAAAACTCCTTAAATAAAACACCCACAAACAAAAACCTCCAAACCAACTTACTTCTGAATCCAAAAAGTCTTCATCACTTGTAAAAAATGTTCACTTCATTGACACAATGATTTTAGTTAAACAAACTCTATTAAGAAACAAGGGTAAAATTTCTCTTGGTCAGAAGATTAAAACATTTCATATTAGCCAATTAACTAATTTATTAGCTCTTCAGCTGTGACGTTAGTGAATACAAAATGCAGCAGCCACCCTCCCAGTCCATCAACACAAGCACATCCCTTTTCCAAGATGCACCTTTAGGTGCATCAGTTTGTTGCTTCTTTACAGTTAAAGAAGATTAAGGACCAGCTTGGCCCCCAAAGAAACCAATTTCCCAGCTGCTGGCTAATGACATGGGTTAAGCCAGTCACCTTAATTGCTGTGAGAGAAACTGCTATGTAACTCTCACCTTTCACTCCTGCAACAGGGGCTCAGAGATTGAGTTGAAGCAAATAGTGGGACAGGCAAAGAGATGAGATGGTTCCTCTTGGTAAAAATAAAGTGCTTAACATGGTGAGCGCGTAAGAACAGCTTTTCTGTTTAAACATCACGTGAAAAAGCGTTTTGGTGTTTTCAGCCTGTCTCTGGAGAGGTGGCTTTCCATCACAGCAGTTTCTGTAAGAGCACTATACATTACACCAGTGAAACACGGCAGCCCCATTTAACACCAGACAAAGCTGCAGTGTTATCACTGTATCTTGTCTCAATTGCACCGAGGTGTTTCAGGCAGCAGCTGCTGGATTTTCACGCACCATAAGCACGTATGCTTCCATAAAGAACTTTGTTAAAGTGTCCAAAATCCAACAGCAGATGGCAAAGCCAAATTTTCAGTCTTTTAAATGGGCAAGTAATCATAGTGAAAATACTGAAGTCAGCTTGTTGCTAGGACTTACTGGAGTTGTGGTTTATGGAAAGGACAAGAAAGCATAAAAAAAAAAAAAGTGGAGTTCTTGGTTTAATTTACATTTCTGTTCTAGTGTGCACCCAATTTGTCCACTGGGGACTTGATAGAAGTTGTAGCAAAATCAAGTTTAGGACCGTTTTCATAAGTTTTAAGGACAAACAGATGGGTTTAATCTTTTACAGTTTCAACCCTTTGGAGTTCTCTTCCCTCTATGCCTTACATTTTGAAAGTTATACTGCCAAGCAGTGTCAGCCCCAACTTTAGTTGTCCTAAAACCATGGGACTTTCACAAAAGTAGTTTAAATCCATCATTGCTTAAAAACTTTATGAAAAACGTGAAACTACTAATACTCAATTCTGGAAAATGTTGCTTTGCTGCTGCAGGGTCTGTAGCCAGCAGAGAAAACACAACATTATATAAAATCCTGACAAAACACAACTAATTGAGTAAACCCACCCTCTTCCACAATGGTGCAGATTACTTCATCCGCAATGGTCTTGAAAATGAGTTTAACTCTACAGATAACTATGTTCTTCACAATAAAAGGAATGAAAATGAGAGTAAAACGTTACTGTTCGCCAGAACATTTCTAAAAGGGTATTTTAAAAAAAGAATGGTGAACAACAAAAATAAAATATTAAAAAAAAAAGCTACAAAAGTGCTTAATGGTGTTCTTTTAAATATTTACTTTGCTGCTATTTGGAGAATAATTTGTTCCATTCAGTAGTGCTGGGCTCAAAGGACCGCTTTAATCCAGAGAGATTAATTATAGCCTTTGGAGTTATAAACACAATTTGGGAAGCGAAGCAGAGAAGAGGGGAGAAACACCTCTCACGCTGGTGATTAACAAGTTTACACGCTTCGGGGCTGCACCACACAGGCTGTGCCCATGCTACACCTGCATGCTACAGGCACTACAGTGCACAGGACACCCATAAATCGGGGAAAAACAGTCCTCGAGATGTCCAGGGAAGACACCACCCTACCCTACCGCATTGCTGTAGGCAACTAAGATACTTCTCAGTATCTTAACCGAAACACAAGTTCACCTGCACCTTATGAAGACACCCTCTGATCTCGCTTTAATTGCCTGCACCAGAAACATGTCATCACCCAGAGACAAGCAGCAGCGCTCGGCGGGCACGGGACCCCATCCACACTGCCGTCAAACCTCTCGCGTGCTTTCACAGACCTCTCCCTGTGACCGCCGCCATGTCCCGCACCAGGAGACGCGGGGAGCAGCGAGAGCGAGCAGGGCAAGGCTGGGAGCGATCTTACCTAGCGAGGGGTCGGCTGCTCCCTCCTCCGAGCTCTCCTCAGCCCCCTCCTCCCCCAGGCCGGAGGTGGCCGAGTCCTCCGGGGCAGAAGCGGAGCCGGGGGTGCTGGGCCCGCTGACAGACCCCGAGTCCCCTTCCTCGCTGCTGGAGCCATAGCGGTCAGGCTGGGCGGCCGTCCCGCCCTCGCCGCCGCTCCTCCGCTCCTTGCGGTGCACCCGGGAGTGCAGCACCATTTGGTGGTAGGTGCGGAAGATCTTCCCACACTCGAAGCACTCGGGCTCTTCTCCGGGCGCCCGCTGGTGCAGCTCTTCTTCTTGGGGTTGCTGGGAGTACTGGGCGAGTCCTGGTCTCGCTTGCGCTTCTCCTGGTTGACAAGGATATACTCTCTCTTATCCTTGTCGTAAGTCACGTCCGCATCTGCCAGGGCCTCGTCCCACCCCACATACTTCACATACTCGGAGGGCTCTACGACTTTCCCCTTGGTGGCCAGCTGCCAAGCTTGGTAGCTACTGACTGGATCCAGCTCGGCTACTCTTTTCCCAGGCTGTCCTCTTGTAACTCTATCCGGCCCTACAGATGGCCTTAGATTGAGACACTGCAAGAAAAACTGCTTCGTTACCGAGGAGCTCAGGCTCCCGTCTGTCAAGCCCTCGGCTTTATCCCTGGTGCTGCCCCGCTGCGCTCGGTAGTGAACAGCATTATGCGCTTTCAGGCTTTCCATATTTGTAAACAGATTTCCACACTTGGTGCAAACTTCGTACAGAGACAGGCCCGTCACAATCGTCTCCTCCTGTATCACGTCATTGATAGTGGCTATGAGTTCCAAATCATTTTTTGGTTTGTTTTTGCTCCCGGTCTTGGGGCCATGTGACTTCATGTGGTTTTTGAGAAACCAGGGCTCTTTGAATCTCCTGCCGCAAATGTGGCACCCGTGATCAAATGACCCCCTGTGCTTCTTCATGTGAGCTTTCAGGAACCAGGTCTGACTAAAGGCCTGACCACAGACTTCGCAGGGGAACTCGCCTGCACTCAACTCGCTCTTGCAGTTCTCAGCATAGGCCTCCCCGTTTGGGACCTGAGCTGTTATATGGTCCTTCTCGATATGGTTTAACAGCGTCTCCTCCCTCAGGGTCATGTAACTACACAACCTGCACTTGAATGGTTTGTGGACCTGGTGCAGGTGCTGCTCCAGATCCTTCTTCCTTTCAAATTTGTTTTTGCAGAAGGTGCACTGGTAGGAGGTCAGCTTGCCATTCTCCTCAGCCGGCGTCGCCTCCATGACCTCCTTCTTGCTGCTTCTCAACAAGATCTTGCTGCTATCTACCTGAGCGGTACCGTTCAAGATCTTGTTGCAGGCAGATGTGCTTTTAGTGGGGCTGGTGCACCCACCCAGGCCCTCCGAAACTCCCATCTCCCCCAGCTGCGCCTCTCCCATCTCCACCTCGTGCCCCTGACTTAAAGTGCCTGTTCTGTGACTACGGATGTGGATCTTCAGGTTGCCCTTTTGGGAAGCTCTGTGATCACAGTAAGGGCATTTGTAGGGTTTCTCGCCCGTGTGCTTCCTCATGTGCTGTGACAAGGAGCTCTGAAAAGGGAAACTTTTACCGCAGATACAGCAGCTGTGGCACATGGTCTTGTCAGCATCCATGTCACTCTTGCTCAGCTTGCCTGGGCTGGAGGATCTCCGTAACTCCATTTCTGCCCCTCTGCTACGATCCATCTGTATCACTGCAACATTGGGTGAGCAGGGCAGGAGGACAAAAGCATGTCCGGCAGCAGAGGAGGGCTGGACCACGTTTTCAATCATACGGTTCTGCAGAGAGATGTTTTATTGCTTCATTCTTGGGGCAACACTTCTCCTTTCAGCTGCTCCAGAGAGTCCGACGTGCCAATTTATTTCCGTGTCTTCTGTAAGCTGATGGCATAGATCACCTGAAACAAGAACAAAAAAATCACACGAATGTACAGAAATCATGTAAGTAGATTCTTCAATACATTTAAACCTATTCATATTTCTAATTCAGCAGCTTCATTCACTCACCCCACATTCTGAAGCACAATATACCACAATTTAATGCACCAAAAAGCAGCAGCTTCCCTTTTGCTGATATTGTAGACTTCAATGACAAGCATTCAAAGCATCATTAATAAACAACTAAAATCCAAAAAAGAGCAAATACTCATTTCCATTCACTGACATCACAGTGTCTTTAAAAGGAGTGCAAACCTGAAAAATATTTTCAAAACCAGGCAGAAGTGGCTAAAAATACACCTTAAATGAGGAAAACATTTCTTTAGGGGGTTATTACACTTTAAATCTGTGGCTTTACCATCATGTGTAATTTCATGTTAAATACTTACTTGGCTGGCAACTGCATTACTTTGCGTCTCAGACAGCTCTGCTGTGCTTGATGTGGCATGCACGGAGCAGGCGCAGAGGCTGAGGACGCTCAGTACTTTGATTAGAGAGAAAACAAGAATCCAGAGCCTGGCAAAGCATTCAGGAAAACTAAAAGTTATTTCCTGATGGACAATGAAGAGAAAACCAAACAACCCTGAAATGTAATATTTAATCTGACAAAGCAATGTGAGTAGGTATCAAATGATCTTAAAAGTGAGTGATTTATGTCAGCAAGACATAGAGGAAACCACAGCACCACCCACCTCAATGAAACAGAATCTTAACCATAAACAAACAAACAAAGCAAGAAACAACTCTGATTAACAAAACAGATTAATACAAGTTTAAAAGCTTTTGTATCTTGTCATGATTAAATGCAAGGGTCAATATCTGCCTCAGCAATGCAAGATGAAACAAACCAGCAATTCTCCACGTTGTATTTGGCAAAAATCAATGGTTAAGATTTCCATAGATAGTTTCTTTTCCAATTATGACAACTGTGAAACAAAAATCTTCCCCCCTTCCTATTCTCATTAAGTACTACAAACACCACATGACTAATACTGTATTCTCTAATACAGAGAACCAATCTATTACCACATGAAGAAAATATCAGCTTCTTAAAATACAGCTAAAAATATGCAGAACATTAACAAGACTATATATTCACACATCCGTCACCTGACATCTGTGACTCAACGAATAAAGAGCTATAGTCCTTGAGCTACAAATTTTAAGGTTTCTCATTGTATTCACCTCTGAGTCTCTTCAATATGTTTATAAATAAATAGTCTAACCATGTCACCAGCATGAGCCTAACAAAAGCAAGGTAAAACTAATGCAATGCTCATCTCAGATACACATCACAGAATAACTTCATTATGTTTAAGTTAATCAAGCCCTCTTACTTGCTACAAGAACATTCATTTCTGGGTTTGATTTTCTGCGTATCTACTAACTGTTCAGCACGTTAAGACACAACAACAGTATCTACCCAAATTACCTTTTCCTCAGAGAGCTGACAGGAATATCTAAGGGATGTGTTATAAATGCAATTTCAGTTCCTGGATGAAGCGTTTTTATACTATGACTAATTTATTATGACTGAAAAAACCAAAACCGCATCAGATCAGAAATTCAGAAGTCCATACGAGCAGGAAGTTTACAAACAACAGCATCTAAATTAATCTCCAAAATTAGTCATTTAAAACCAAATTGAGAGGCAGGCTCAGAAGAAACCCCCTGGGCATATGAAGAGTACCACTGGAAGTTGTGGCTGTACCAGAAGGTACAAACATGCCCAACAAACACAAACACAGTTACACTGCATATTGATGGATGAAACAATTCAGAGTAACAACTTACTTATTTGACCCGTAATCTGAATCTGCAACGTAACAACCCACAGTGACTTATAATCAGAGACCTCTCATTAAAATCATGAAAAGAAACACCAGGGTAACTTCTTGCATTTAACACGTCAGTATACTTGAACAAGCAACAGCTTCTTCTGAAATGTTCTGCACCATTGTAGGAAAAAAGCAGGCAAGCTTTGGGTACAAATTTTTCCACGTATTTTAGGTAATGTTTTCTACTTTCTGCATTCTCTGAAGTTGACACCAATGAGAACACTGCTTACTGGCAGACTGACTTTTAGACCAGCGACTTTTTTATTTCCCCCCCTTTTTTTTTTAATGTTCATCCCGTTTTAACTCAATTTTCTACAGTGTTTCCTGTCTGAGAGTTCAAAAGAGCTTTAAGAGTCAAACTTAGAGAAGAATGCTGTATGGGGCAGTGCAGGCACACAGAAATCCAAAGCTTCAGAGTCCCTTGCTTACTTGGCCACAGCTTCCCTGTGCTTAGCCATGACATATTTCACTTTACTTATAGCATTTTCATTAATGGAATGAAAATGAGGATATGAAGAAAGCATTACTTTAAGAGAGGTATTAGCCACTTTTGCAGGAGATCCCTCTAGCCCTATGTTAAATTAGGCCTGAGGGGGGGAAAAGTCAGAGTTAAAAAATTACCAATTTATTTTATTAGTCTAAAATACTTAACAGAAGTGCTATCATCTTCACCAAAATATTCTGAGAAAATTGTTTCATCTTTGTTACTTCAGCTTGGTCAATGCACTGCAATTTATAACTTGAGAAGTTGAAATAAAGTATTCCTAGATTTGAATTATTTGAATCAATACACATTTAAGATTCACAAAATTTCAAGTCTGACCTTCCACAGACAGACACTCCAGGGCGAGGAAGGGTGTCCACCCAGTCTGAGTTTGCTTTACACAGTGTGTGGAGGTCTGCTTTAAGCTTTGGTAGATTGACTGACACAAACATATACGAACAGCTCACAACTCCTTCCTCACATCATTTGACTCACTTAATAGCAGTTCTTTTAGAGGGGCTCCTTGCAGAACAGCAAAGCTAGCGTTCATCAAAAAGGAAAGAAGCAGCATATACAAAATAAAAATGACACTTTTGAAAAATGCTTCAATTCAGAAGACTGAACATACAAAATGAGGAAAAGAGTACTTGTAAAGAATCCTACCAATAGAAAATAACATTTTGGCTTAATAATTTCCACCTTAGTATTAATTATTAAACAATTATTTCAACATCAAATATGGCACAAGGGATGGAAGACGTCAACTGGTAAACCAAACCACACTGACAACTCTCCCGCTGTGAGTAAAATTTTGCCATAGCTGTTTCTTTTTCTTTCTGGCTGACTGCGATGATAAAAATACTTGTATTTTGCAATAATTACGAATTTGAAAGTATTCAGAAATAATTCTCTTTCAGCACACGTGGAACGCTGCCACCTCCAGCTATCCTAAGGCTACTAAAAAAAAATGTTTTAACTCTCAGTAATTTTAGGTGGTAACCAGTAACTTTTCATCATCGCTCTGATCCAAGCTCAGCCTGCAGCTCCTTAGCACCTGCTTGTCACACAGAACCCATAGGAGAGTTGCATCCAGCCTGCAGATTTCTTCCAGATCCCCACTAGCACAGAGGCAAGCCATAAGGAAATGCAAGTGAATGTCAACCGTAAATTAGCACGTAGTCTTTAAAAAAATTTTGTGTGTTTTAATGGCATTGCAGCCTATGCCAAATGCCGTACAGCTCCTTGAGTGGGGTTTGACACTCTGTTGTAAGGGCCATATGAACTAGCTTCACCTCAGTTTATTGAACTAGGGATCAGCAGTTCACATAAGAAGCCACTGGCCAGTGTCCAGGAGGCATCTTCATCCCTTTAAAAAAATACATCGAGGCACTTATCACCACTGTTTGCATGCAGGTTTGGTATATAAAGCAAGGTGGAAGAGAAACATGAGCAAAGACCCCAAACCAGGAGGGGTGGCACGCTGAGAAATGCCTTTGCTCAGCTAAATATGTTAGTTGTAACGCCTGTTCCTGCACTCATTGCCCACAGAGAGTCTCAGCCGTGGCTTCCTCAACAAGGCCACGGTCGCCCGTCCCTGCCAGTAGCGCAGCAGGTACGCCGACACGTGGCTGCATAATCCCCACAACTTCTGCACGACCCTCACGCAGTCTTGAAGCGACGCACGCACAAAAGTACAGGGGAACAGCACTTTAATTAAACAGGAGCACTCTGAAATACCTGTTGCTCTTCTCTTCATGCCACCTGCATGTTCTGGAAGAGGACTGGGTATGCTGCGAGGACTCCCCGCAGGGCAAGACAGACCCTCTTAAGGACCTTTCGTGCCTCTTGGAGAACAATTCATAGAAAAAATTGGAAATAAACAACACTAGAAAACTGAAAAATAGAACGCAAGAGATACCACACTGAAAAAGTAATTGCAAATTTGTTTCTTACATACAAATAGCCTGTGCAGCACAGACTGAGAGGAAAACACACAAAAGAATTACTCCTGTTCCAACATACAGAAGCCTATATATTCTTTTTTAATTTCTCTTCGATTAAACCTGACTTTAAAAATCACATTGCATGGGCTGTAGTGGCAAGCAGGGAAAACTCTTCAGTAAGTAATAACCAAGAACATATGATCTGGGAAGCTACGCAGACCTGTTCAAATAGCACAGTGTATATTTTAAAACAAACTGCTTTTAGTTTGGGTGTGAGCATTTCAAGTCCCGTCTCAAAGATCAATGCACTGGAGAAGTATCACTCTTCCAGTCTCCAAGGGGTTTGAATATACGGTGCAATCACTGTACCGTGTTCCTCTGCCAAAATCAACACTGACTTTAAAAAAAAGAAAACAAACACACTGTGAGGCGTGATCTGATGGAAAAAAATATCTTACTGAAATTCCTTCTAGATGATGAAGTGATGGGACATAGCACGTAAACACCTAGGTGAATTTGAGAAAGCTGTATCTTTCAAAGAGCTGATCTCTCTCAATTTGAGAATGCTCA